ACTAAAGAAAATATTCTGGACGTTTGGTGGTGTTAGTGTGGTGTTCCCCCCCCTCCATCCCGGACGAAGTAAAGGGACAGTGAGGCCTCCACCAGCTCTTGCATGTCCCACACTGATAAATGGATGATGCAGGAGGGAGAACGTCGTGGTTATGTGAAATAGATTACTTCTTTCTGAAACAAACTGACAAGTAATGCAGAATTTTAGGATCACATGAAGATTAAACATCCCAGCTTATTTCACTTGATGATTAAAGACCCTAATGTCAATGTAAACAAATTATCTTGAAACTTGAAAAAAATAAATGAATATAGAAAAAGTCCAAGATAAATTTGAATATTATTTTTTTCTTGTTTGACGAATACTGTAAGGAAAAAAACATTAAGGGAAATTTATTTATGAGTGAATACAAATTTGTGACATGGTGACAGGTGCCTACGGGTGCCTGATGGGTTTAGGGAAGGGTAAGTTAAGTTAAATTAGGTTAGATTAGGTTAACGTTAGATTAGGTTAAGGTAGGGTTAGTTAATTTGGTTAGATTAGCGTTAGGTTGGGTTAGCATTATGTTGTTAGGTTAGGTTAGCACTAGGTTAGCGTTAGGTTGGGTTAGCATTATGTTATGTTAGGTTAGGTTAGCACTAGGTTAGGTTAGCGTTAGGTTAGGTTAACTTAGCGTTAGGATAGGTTAGCTTAGGGTGATCAATCGAGCTGATCCGTGTTAGATAATGGTGAGGAAGAAAATAATCACCTCATTTTGGGTTTGGTGAGGGTGTAAGACTTAGAACACACCCACCAGACGTAATTATCGTCTTCCCGCCACAGCAGTTACAAAGTTAACGAGGAGAACCACAGTAGCGTAGCAAGTGGGAAAAAATCAATTGCCAGGTAGTGGATATTTTCCCCGAATATTTGAAGAGGAAATTAAATACGGCATCACTTCAATTTTAATTTGCTTAAAAAATATTGATGGAGATGAACAGTGAAAACAACATTTAAAACCTCAATTATTTTAAAAAACTGAACATTTTCGTTTGTTATCCTACAGTGTATGTATGACGTCATAAAACCAGTTTCAAATTATTTTTATATTTCGGTGAATACAATAACCAATATTGGAGTGCGGTGGCCGAGTGGATACAACACTCATCACTTGTCCTAACGATAGCTGGTTCACTCCCAGGTCACCCCTATTTCACCCAGTTGTAAATGGGCACCTGACTTTATGGTTGGGGAATGAAGGCGGTTCAATACAGTGCCGGACAGGCTGATTCCTTGTGTACTGTACCGAGAAAATATTTGTAGCTATACCTTTTTGCGGCTCACCTGAAGATTAACCAAACAAGTTTATTTTCCCTGATGATTAAACACCCTGACGCTACCTGGGGCTCATAGTTTAGGGTTAGATTTAGAGTAGATTACTGTAGATTAGTTTAGGATAGATTAGGTTAATTATCAGATGAAATAAGCTGAGGGGCTAATCATCAATTAATCAAAATTTACATGTGCAGTAATTAGTTTGTTTTAGTAATTTTGATATATTTGGTTACTGTCAGTCTTATTTGAATAATGATTTACCCATTTTAATTATATATTATTTAAAAATTATCCACTGGCCTGACTCACTAAGGCACAATAACGCAGACACTACGCTGAATATCGTAACTAGTAAAGTGACCCATTTGATCGATAAATATATACCCAAGACCAAACGCAGTGCCTCAAGGAATACGAGGGGATCCCTACACATGAACCATGCGGCGGTCGACAAAGTTAAGAAAACCCAGAAATTCAAGACGTGGTTTAGGTTAACTGATGAGCAAGACAGGAGGATGTATGCAAGAGCCAGAAAGCGAGCAAAGGCAGAGTATAGAAGGGCTGAAAAGGAGTTCCAGAGGCTGGTTGCAAGCGAGGTCAAGTCAAATCCAAAGGCGTTTTACCGCTATGCAAAGTCGAAATTAAAAACGCGAGTAGGAGTATCAGACCTGAGGCTTGAAGATGGTAGTTATGTAGATTCTGACCAGGATAAAGCTGAGGCATTGAACAGCTTCTTTTCCTCGGTGTTCCCAAGAGAGGATGCGATTAACCTTCCTGCGTTTGAGGACAGACGGTTCGACACAGCACTGACCCACATTGTGTTCACAGAAAAGGGTATAAGAAATAAACTGTCAAAGATAAAGGTCCATAAAAGTCCCGGCCCTGACATGGTGCATCCAAGAGTGCTAAGAGAGTTGTGCAACGAGCTTGCCGAGCCCCTGAAGATTCTGTTCTGTAAATGCCTGGATGAGCAAAAGGTCCCCAGTGATTGGAAAATGGCTTATTTGACTCCTATCTTTAAGAAGGGCGATCGTCACTCCACGAACAACTATAGACCGGTGAGCCTGACCAGCATAATATGTAAAGTACTTAAGAGTATTATCAGTGATGCCGCGATGGAACATCTACGAAACAACCTTGTAAAGGATTGCCAACACGGTTTTATGCCGGGGCGCTCCCGCTTAATACAATTGCTCAAGGTATTGGATATTTGTACCCATATTCTGGAACGGGGTGGTAATATCGACAATATATACCTAGATTTTGCCAAGGCTTTCGACAGTGTATCCCACAAAAGGCTGAAAATCAAACTGGAAGGGTACGGAATTCGGGGAAATGTCTAAGCGTGGATAGAAGACTTTCTACATGACCACAAGCAGTGTTTGGTGATTAATGGCACGAAATCATCATCTGTACCTGTCACAAGCGGGGTACCATAGAGATTGGAGCGCCTGAACTTGCCTAGCTTATACTACAGACGGGCAAGGGGTGACCTAATTGAGGTGTATAAGCATCTTAAGGGGCACAACTCAGTCGAGTGTCCTTACTTGGAGCTGGCGGACGCTCGCCCCACAAGGGGTCACAGCTCAAGATTAAAGAAGCCGCAAGTCCTGAAAACTGTGAGGGCAAACTTTTTCGGAGTAAGAGTTGTGAATTCTTGGAACACTCTACCAGAAAGTGTTGTGACGGCACCGAGTGTGAGCTCTTTCAAGACAAGACTTGGCCAACACTGGAGCAGGTTCAGGTACATTCAGGAGTCGGTGCATGCCCAGTACTTGCCAACAGTGCGTAACAGAGGAATGACCGATCGCCCAAGCGGTTAACGAGCCGATCATTTGGTGAAGAGGATAAAAGAAATTACATATCTGACGCTATACACTCCTCCATACAAATGTTTGCGGATGACGCCAAGTTATTTCGGGAAATAAAAAACCAAGCAGACTGTGAAGAGCTGCAGAAGGATCTCTGTGAGCTCCAAGAATGGTCGAAGAAATGGCTGCTGAGATTAAAATGTCACGAAGTATAAGAGGATGCACCTGGGGCGTACCAACGGTAAGGAGGCGTATCATATGTCTCAACGGGATGAAGAAACTGCACTATTTGAGACTGAATGTGAGAAGGACCTGTAGGTGTGTATGTTGACAATGAGCTGAAGTTCTCGGGCCATTGCGAAAAGAAGGTAAATCGGGCAAATAAATTATTAGGTCTTACAAGAGGGTCGTTCAGATATCTAGACCGTCCCTCGTAACGATCTTCAAGAGTGGAGTGCTTTCCCATCTGGAGTACTGTCACCCCGTCTGGTCCCCGAAATATACTAGGGACTGTCAGTTGGTTGAAAATGTTCAAAGGAGGGCCACCAGACTGGTGCCTGCGTTTCGGCACCTCAAGTACCCTGAGAGATTGGAGCGCCTGAACTTGCCTAGCTTATACTACAGACTGGCAAGGGGCGACCTAACTGAGGTGTATAAGCATCTCAAGGGGCACTACTCAGTCGAGTGTCCTTACTTGGAGCTAGCGGACGCTCGCCCCACAAGGGGTCACAAACTCACAGCTCAAGATTGAAAAAGCCGCAGGTCCAGAAAACTGTGAGGGCAAACTTTTTCGGAGTGAAAGTTGTGAACTCTTGGAACAATCTGCCAGGAAGTGTTGTGACGGCACTGAGTGTAAGCGCTTTCAAGACAAGACTTGGCCAACACTGGAGCAGGTTCAGGTACATTCAGGAGCCGGTGCATGCCCAGCACTTGCCAACAGTGCGTAACAGAGACGTGACCGATCGCCCAAGCGGCTAACGAGCCGATCAGTGGTGAAGAGGATAGAAGTAAAAAATATCAGTTTTAGCTCGACGTACCCGTTGCCTAACCTCAGTAAAAAAAAATATTTAGCTGTCTGTCTATCTATCTCTCTAGCTATCTATCAGTGGTAGTTTAGTTGGGAATGCAACTTGTATGTATATTATCTTGCAACGGATGCAGATGTTGAGAAATAAAATGTCTCACTACCATTTAAAAATGGAATGAAAGGATACGCTTATGGGTGCATTTCATATATTAGATCCAAACTAAGATTACTTTGATTTTATACTCACATTTCTGATTAGTTATTTATAAACTATCTCGTCTCCGCCCACATATTGTTCATGCCACACTCGGCTCAAGATTTATTTGCTCTTCACTGTTTTTATATTCTATTACAAACGAATCTTAATCCAGGTTACTTAAAATGCTAAGCAATCGCAGAAAGGAATATCTATCAGTTACCTTTAATAAAACATAGAAAATGGTTTATTGTTGGAGGGGAGTATTATTTCTGAAAAAGTGAATATAACTGAAAGAAAAGGTATGCAGAAAATCAGGTGTAGTAAAGCTTCTCGAACATTTTGGAAATATTATATAGTAACTCTTATTCTATAGTCATAAATAATATTAAAAACAAATATATTTATATAAAAACTTAATATATATACCTAAAAAAATTACCTGTACGTAATTATGATTATAGAAATATTAAAACAGTGAAACACTACTTTTGTTGCCTTGGTGACTAACATATTCTTACAACATTGACGAATTTCTCTTTAACGTGAATATCAATCATTATACAGGTAGGGATAAGTATATTAACTAAGATTATATTTTAAAATTTATAATAGGAGCAAAATAAATAACAGTTTTAGCACTGTATGGTGATAAACTTGAACAAGGAATTCATGTCTCTTGTTATTAAATGTTGTAGTCCACTTCGTATAGGGTGAGAGGCGTGACGGCTGCGAGAAGTAAACACCATGGTGAGACTAAACAATTTCTCTAATTTTAGCATTAATTCTCAATATTTACCCTTTATATAACTTTGAATTATTATAAGTAGCTTATAAGATAATCCAAACAACTGGAAAGCGTTCCATTTATCCCGAGTAGTGAGGGTTAGTGTTCAGTAGAATGATGTATAATGTGAAACCCGTCAGACACTGGAGCTTATTTTATCATGTTTTAAAGAAAGGTAATAAACCAATGGTAAATGTAGTTAAAACTGCACTTTCGAACAATTCACCATAATAGTTGAGCTATGTATTTTTGGAATGGTTTTGACAATTTTAAGGGTGAATTTTCGATCTTGCACCGGTATTTCTCTCGCTGTTATTAAAATGTTTTTCGTAATCTTTAGACAATTCTAAGACCCCTTTCTTCTGTGATATTTCCGCCGGAAATTAAGGATAACCGAGATATTAATTTTTCAATATTATTAGATATGGTCAGTCACAAGTGTTGCCATTTGTTGTTTACGTCTCGCGGAGAAAGTCTGACCACCCATCACGCAGTGCTCCTTACCTCCGTATTGGCTTCTTGAGCGTCTACAGCACAAGTGCGGGGGGTGGGGGGTGTGGGAGTTTCTTATTGGCTATAGCTATAGGAGACTTATAATTGGGCAAGAGTATTTTGTCTTGGCCAATGAACATTACATAGGTGCGTCAGGAGCGGAGATTTTATTTTTCAGTACCAGAATAACCAGATATGGCTGAACAGGTGGAAAGAGCTGTGCCGACATTGTGATCGAGATTATTTTAGGTTAGTTACAGAGTTTCATCAGAAAAATAGTGTTAGGTTAGGTTAGGTTAGGTCAGGTTTGGTTTGGTATTGTTGGTTTTTATTTATGTGATTTACTCGAGAAAAAAATACATTTTCGTTAGGATTGATGGGCGGGGTGGGGGGGGGGGGTCTCAAAAACTGTTGGTTTCTGGATGAAATGAATATCAAATTCTTTCAAAACTCATCCAATAACATCAGAAAAACATATTTTTAATATCCAAACAAAGACCGGCACATTAGTGAAAACTTACCATTTTGAGACACCTTTCTTCTATGTTTCCGTCGCAAATGACCTAAAATTATCTAACCTAACCTAACTGGGGGGCTCTGGCCCCTGGATCCCCTGGTATATTTAAGTAATTTGCGAGGAAACGTCATAGAAGAAAAATGTCTTAAAATCGTCTAAACCATCAGAAAAACACATTGCTCAACTCGAGATTCATATTGTCCGAAACTTCAGTCATACCTAAATATATTATATAAGTCTATGTCGGCTTTCATTTATTTGTAATATAACTTAGGTAAAGAACATAGATGGATAACTTTACCTGCTTCAAGCATTTCTGATCTTTAAATTGTGAAAATCCTTTAAAAGTTAATAGAAAAAAACCCTGATCTCTAAGGTAATAGGTATGTGATCAGATTCATGGGAACGAAGTACCTTACAAAAAATCTTCGGGAATGTTCTTATCATTATAGTAAGTATTTTAAAAGACTCAAAAAATTTTATTTAAATTATTAGTATTTTTTATTTGTTAGTTTTTCATTATTATAAATCACCTGTAGTGGCCAGGATATGATGGATGAGGGAATTGTGGGGTAAAATATGGTGTAAAACTGATCATATAACACTAAAATGGTGTCTATGTGCTTTGTACGTGACAAATGAATTATTTACAGTAAATATTTTACGGAAAAATTTGCCGTGTCGGTGCGTGTTGTCGTCTGCTCTTTGTTTGTTTCAATGCAACAACCGAGCCGATTGGTTCTAGCATACTCTAACGTCCACAAAAATACAGTAAAATTACACCTTTCTGCTTTAAAAAAGTTGCTTTCATTGATACTAGATATCGAAGTAAGTATACAGTTCAAATACTTTCTGTTTAATATGCCAGGGGTAAGGTTAGTTAGGTTTCCTTGGTTGGTTAAGTCAGGTTCTATTAGGTGCTGCTAATTGTCATATCAGTTTTATTACTTGCTAGCATCTAAGAACATCTGTGGAAAAAAAAATTACAAAATCAAATGCATTCTGGTGTTAACCATCTGCTCAGGATTACCTTATTTTATTTTATGAAATTATAATTACTGGATTAGTTTAGGTTAGGTAGTTTAGATTTGGTTAGGTAAGTCAGTTTGGTTCATTTTCATCTTCTGTACTGTTACTGAGATATATAATACTGTACAGTACAGGGTACAGTATATAATATATATAATAAAAAGAATTGTGTACTATATTGTGTTTTCTGTGAGCTGCCTTTAAATGGATGCTGTCAGATCATCACATCAAGCCATTTAATAAACAAACCTAATCAAACTTACCCAACCTTATCTAATGATCTTTTGAGAAAACCAGGAGCCTCTCATGAGAGTACAGTAACTATTCTCAGTTTTATAGTTGATTTTACTACAGAAACTACAAGAATAGTTTCTGCTAATAGTTATCATAACAGTACTCTTATTTTGCAGTCTGCTGAAGTAGAGGAAACACTGAAAAGAATTCAGTCCCACAAAGGGGTTGTAGGAGTCATAGTTGTTAATGCTGAAGGTAAGGTGTTTACTTCCTTTGTGTTTGTACTGTACGTGAAGATGGTGGCCATATAGCTACAGTTTTTTTAATATGCTATTCAGTAAGCCTTGTACAACAGGACTTCTGTTGTACAATCACATCTTGGCTAAATGTTGCTCTTTGGTTCAAATACAGTACAGTACAGGGTGTTCAGTAAGCAACACAACCCATGTAATAGAATAACCATAAGTTTATTGATAAAAGTTATAGGGCTGTGATCCATTGCCAACCACAGGTTTTGAGTACATATCCATATTATATAGTACTGTACTTTGTACACCATTTTACCGGCAATGATATCCACTTTTAAGTATCCATAGTTTCCATGGTTTTGCAAGAGATTTCTAGCCTTGCGGGAAGGTTTGCTGGATGTCTATCTAGTGGTTCATATTACTGTACCTGTATACACTATATCTTGTACAGTATGTGCTTTGTTCCTCAAACGACAACAATATGCTATCATCAAACATGCCCAAAATCACTTCTGCTATCTGATATTTAAATCACTTTGCTTATTTTCATCCTTATATATTATACGCTATGCGACTTGCTGCTGTCCTGGCAGTAGTCACATAATAACACTTTCAGGGTCAAGGGGCTGGTGATGTAGTCATCCTGTTCACTCACCGAGTCACTGTCTCTCAAAACTTGTTTTCTTTTTTACTAAATTTAAGGAAATTCATTCATCTAAAATGTGTGGGTTTTTTGTTTTTGTAAAAGAATAATTTGAACATTTTGATGAATAATATACTAAATTGTATGTTTCGAAGAGTTTACATATTTCTATGCCATCAGAAGTCTTAACCCCTTGTGTATGGCGTTGCCTCTGAGCTGAATAAAATCGTCTGGCATTTGTCAAATAAATTATTAGTGTTGTCCCCACAGTGAAGGGGATAATAATGTTATTGTATCTGGGTAAATGTGTTTTTAAATACTACAGGGGAATAGCACACACACTATGTTCTTAATTTTACCTTTTGAGCAGTACAGTACTTTATAGGACTTCAGCTGCAGTATGTCTCTCATGGGCCACACCTCATTTTCCATTAGATCCACAGCCCTTGCCAATCATGAGATAATTTTAGAACATAACCCCTTCAGTTGGAGAGAGATACATAGTTGAAAATTTGTATTTAGTGAGTTGAGTCCTCATTTTTGTCCAGTTAGGAAATCAACAGTATTGATCATGTTGGTAACTGTACATAATGTCATCCTTGTGTTTTAAGTTGTTGATCAGTATAATGTGGACAGGATTATTTGTTCTCAGAAACTGGATAGTACAGTATTGTACATCATAAAATTAACTGGATATTAATGAAGTCTATGATCTTATTCTACAGGTCATTCTGATGCGAGTGATGAGTTAGTGTCTTTTAGCATGGAAGATTACAGTACAGTACTTGCTTGGAATTAGAGAGAGATGTATTGTGAGGTGATATGTGAGTGTTAGATTGGGAAAATTTTGTCATCAATCAATTTTCTGATTGCAGTTTGTTTACTAGTATTTTGGACACATTCATGTATGAACCTACTAGATGATCATAATATGCCTCTTATAGCATAAAAGAATTATGCACAGCTCAAAATTCAGTGTACAAACTAACTTCCCAGCTAGGAAGTTCGTACACGAAATGATATATCAGGTGCCCTGTTATTTAAAAGTGTATAAGAGAAAATTACAGTGATTACTCATGCAGATTTCTAAGCTGTCACAGAAGCTAATAGTGGTAATTGTGCTGTACAGAAGTTGTAAACATGAAGATCATCATTCTTTGATTCCAGGAATTCCCATCAAGAGTACATTAGATAATCCGACTACAATTCAATATACTGGACTCATTAGTGGTCTGACTGATAAGGCTCGTGGTGTTGTACGGGACTTGGATCCAACAAATGACCTCACATTCCTTAGAGTTCGCTCAAAGAAACATGAAATTATGATTGCTCCAGGTAAGTGTACAGAGAAGCTAGTCTTTCTTGCACAAGCAGTAATAAGATATTTGTATTACAGGCATTCCCCTATACTGTACAGTGGTCCCTCGGTTAACAAGCATAATACGTTCCAGAAGGTTGCTCATTAACCGAAACCATTGTTTCAATGGGTTTTTGGGTAATTGGTTCCAGCTCACTGAAAATTGCCTAAAATCAACAAAAAAGGTAATAAAGTACACTTACTTTGAGGTGTGTATGTAGAAGGCTCCTGGATGATGATGATTGGAATTAGAATGGGGGTGGAGGAGAAGAGAAGCCATTGGGGTGGAAGAGAAGTCACCCCATGGTGCCATTTCACCCATAAAATTTTAGTTCTCTTGGTATAATTCAAGATTATTTTCTTAACATCAACACTGCACTGCATTATATATTGTCAATATGTAAAATAAATTTCAAATTGACCAATAATTTGCTTGGAAACACAGAAAAAAAGCATTTAGTTGAAGAGAGTCTCAAGCAAGATGTTACCTCCACTGAAAAGACACAGACTGACGCCTGTATGGTGTGTTGACAGGCTGTTTGGCTCGCAAAAAACTAGCTTCCTATACTTCAATTATGTTCAATAATTGTTAAAATGACTAAAAAATTTAATATAAAACTTTTAAAATTATTGAATAGTACAAACTTCTTGATATTTACTAAAATAGTAAGGAATTTAAGCCCTAGAACCGATTACTGTATTGGCGGACTAATACTACAGCTGGTGGACCTCCAAATGCGAGCAAAAACATGTGGAGGGGCGCTCGTTAAAAACTCGTTAATCGAGGGATTGCTCGTTAACGGAAGTTAAGAATCTTATGGAAGGTAAATCGTTAACTGAAATCGTAACCGAGGTGCTCGTTAACCGAGGGATCACTGTATATGAAATGCCTCGTAAGTTGGAAATGTACATAAGTCGGAACACGTGCCATGTGCATACCATACTTACAGTGTACAGAACAATGTTTAGAATCTCACTATCTGTATATCATAGCCTAAGCCCTAAGTCCTTATATACATCTAACATCACTTAATTTAGGAAAAAAGAAGAAATAGAATGACATAATACAGTAAATGAAAGTAAAATATAAGTCATCAGGGAAATAAAATATCCCTATACTGTAAATTTTAAGTTTTACCCCATTCGTATGGATGGGCATTCGTACACAGTGAAGACTGTTAAGCACCCTGCCTCACTTGTGGTTTGGGCTTGCTTTACGTATTATGGTGTTGGTGAACTAGTAATCCTCCCTAAGAACCAGATGATGAATCAGTATAACTATCTTGAGCTGCTCGGTGATTTCTTACCTGAATCATTTGATAAAGCTAAGGCAAGTCTTTTCATGCAGGACGGTGCCCCATGCCACACTGCTAAAAGTGTCATACAGTGGCTCAAAGACTGTAAGGTACCTTTCTTTAATGACTGGCCTGGCAGTAGCCAAGATCTCAACCCAATAGAAAATTTGTGGTTCATTGTTAAGCGTCATCTGCGCAACACTGACATATCATCAATCCCGAAGCTAGAGGCAGCTATCAAGGATACCTGGGCTAACTTGCCATATGACCTCTTGCAAAACCTTGCTAAAGGACTGCCTGAAGTGCAAACCAAACATTGCAAAGTAATAATTGAAGTGGTAAATGTTACTTAACTTTATTTATATAACATACCAGTAAATATGCATTTTTTCAGCAGACGAACTAACTTTCCGCGCAGACTGTTTGTGTGTGTGTGTGTGTGATTATATATATATACTGTATATATATATATATATATATATATATATATATATATATATATATATATATATATATATATATATATATATATATATATATATATATATATATATATATATATATATACACACACACACACACACATAGCTCCTCCCCGACTTACGACCTACTCGACTTATGACCATCCGGACATATGACCGCCTCAGTCATAAAATTTTTTTGTCAAATTACGTATTTTTAAGTCCCAGCGTCAGTGATTGCGCTGTGTACTGACAAAATTTTCGTTTGTAATTCACTTTAAAATGGCTGGCAAGCTTAAAAGTGAGAGTTTTGTGGTGCTGAGAAGAAAAAGAGACACCCATTTTAGATTTTCTATGTATTATTTAAGCATTTTCGACTTATGACCAATTCGACTTACGACCTGGATTTGGGTCCCTACGGTAACCCCATCGTAAGTCGAGGAGCAGCTGTATATATAAAACACTACTTACCTCAAAACAGTAGAATGACATTCTTCATGGAAAAGAGGTTTGCATTCCTTGAATTTAAATTAATGTGTTTTGTATCAAGTACCAATGAATGGTTTCTTGTGGTTCACATATACAGGATACAGGTACTGATACAGTACTGTACAGTACAGTACTGACCTGCAGTTTATTGCTTTGAATTTTCTGCTATGTATTACAGATTTCATGGTCAGTGGCTGTTATATTTCAGACAAATGTTTGTGTAAGTTATTACAGTTTATGTAATTTTTACTCTTATTCTTTTCAGATAAGGAGTATATGCTGATTGTTGTTCAGAACACGAATGAGTAACTCAACAACGTGGTATACATATATAGTCTGATATTGATTAATTATAAATTATTTGTTTATATTCAGTTGCAGTATAGTCACTATGTTATTATATTAAATAAAGCTTTACTACTACTTGACTTATGTGGAGAGACTATTGCTTACCTTGTAGTAGTTGCTTCCTGGAAATAAAGTTTTAGTTGATATACAGTACAGGCAGGTCCTGAGTTACAAACACCCAACTTACGAACACCCATACTTATGAACAGGATCTCCATATAAATTCATCAAAAACATCTGTAATTAAAATCAAATTTTTTACATTAACTATAATTTTTAACAAATTTACATTATTTGTTATTTTGTATGTGCAGGATTGTTTTAACCTAACCTATGGAATGAACAGTGTTCTGAATTACGAACAAGGTCCAGGAACGTAACCTGTTTGTAACTCGGGGACTGTCTGTACTGTATTGTTTGAGTAGTGAAATGATTATGTCCATAGTGTTAGGTAGTTTATTTAAAAACCTGTTACTGGAAGAATTGTAGAAAATTTGGAAAGTAGGTACTGGTAGGGACGTTGCCAGGTTTTCTTCAAAACAGGACGATTTGTGAGTCACTAGCGCAGAAATGTGGCACTGTTATCTTATATTTCTTTTATTAAATACGATATTTCATATTTGCTGATGTAGGCAAATCATTCTGCCAAGTTCTAAAATAGATCTCACCAGTTTCTCTAATACAGTATGTCATGGATGCCACACATCCACAACATTGCTAAAGCTGCCTCGCAAAAGCTGGGAATGCTGTACAGATGCTGTAGCTACTTCACTCCTGAGCAGTTGCTTCAAGTTTATAAGGGATTCATTCGTCCTAACTTGGAGTACTGGTCTCATATCTGGGATGGCTCTTCTTTTGTCCAACTGTTAGATAGGGTGGAATCAAAGGCATTTCGTCTTGTTGACTCTCCTCCTTTAGTTAATAATCTTTCTTTCTTTTCTCTTCGCCGCAATGTTGCTTCACTCTCTCTTTTACAGGTACTTTAACAGGCAGTGTTCGGTGGATTTGGCATCCCGTGTACCGCTGGCAAGGCCGTGGGCTCGTAACACTCGTCTTGCCGAAGGTGCCCGCAGTTTCTCTGTGGCTGTCGGTCACACTAGAATAACCCATTATTGTACAGCCTTTCTTCCTCACACAGCCAAACTGTGGGATGCTCTGCCTTCGGTGTTTCCATACTCTTACAATCTGTCACTTTAAAAAGTTGGTTTTCCGGCCTCTTCGTGGTGTAGATTGATATGGCCTTTTTCTTTTCTATTTTTAATTTATTTTTGCGTACTCTTATATTTTTGCCCCCTAGGCCCCGTTGTGGTTTGATGACCTGTGCCCGGGTGGGCTCTACCCCGTAAAAAAAAAAAATGGCCTATGCACATTAATTAATAAAAAAAGGACATTTTATTACTAGAAAACCTGAGGCACACAAAAAAGGAAAGCACTCAATATTTGATAGCAATTCTGATTGATTGTGTTCACTGTACATCTTTCAAAGAAGAAGCTTCAGATTTCTGGGTTTGTTCCATGGTAAATCTTGTTAATACTTCTTTGGCATCTTCTATCTTAACTGATCTCTGCTTCTGTTTATTAAAGGTAAACCACTTTATCTGTCCTTCTTAAAGAATTTCTCAGCCAGGTCTTTAGATAGTGAAGCTTAGTAAATGAGTGTTCTGATGTTACAGTGGTAATGGCTGGCATGCAAAAAATCGGTAGTTTGTGAATAGTGGGAAAGCACTAGTATTATACACAGCTAATGTTGAGATGGCATCGGCTGCTCTCTCTTTCTTCCCTTGAGCATCATAAATGTGACCACACCTCCCAGTCAAATGATTTTTGCATGATACTTGTACTAGGAAGAAAGAAACTCAAGAAATTGATAGCTGCCTGTAGCTAAGTTTGTTTATTACCAGTGGGCTAATTATTGATGGATGTGAGAAGGCAGATTTCTATTCTCAATGCTTGCTTATTGTGATCACAGATTCTGTCTAAGGTTTTTTAGTATACCATCTATAGTCTGTTCACTCAAAGCTTGCAAATGAGGCCTCGGCTCATTTTGTAGTAAGGCAGCTGATTGGTTAGCAGATGGACACACTTAATATAATTGTGCCATGACCTGACACTAGTCATAGCCGTTGGGTCAATGTGAGACCGACAGTCAGTAATCAGATCACGGTGACAAATCTTTTACCTGAGATGACCTTTTTTCTCCACCCCATTACTGGGCTGGCAGTTATTTTTGCAGTGTGACCACTCTGATGGGTGGGTTTCCTCCCCCAGTTCAGGGATATTAGCAGTTAGTGTGACTGTAGCTACATCATTTTCCTCTGCAATTTATCTGTTTTCCCGTCCTGTGTATTTTTTGTGTACCAGCTTTGCTAATTTTATATTATATCACCTATACAACCTCTACTTGTTATTTCTTCAATGCCAGTGAGTCCATCACAGAAGAGGAAAGTGGACAGTGAATGCCAAATTTAACAAAGAATGGACTTCTAAACCTAGTTTTTGTTGATACCCTGTATTGGTGTAAAAGTTTTATGCTTAATGTGCAAAGAACGTGTAGCAGTGTTCAGCAACTATAACTTGTGTTGCCATTTTGAGAGTAAACACGAAGAGAAATATACAAACTTTTTAGGTGATAAAACCCCAGTTGACCTTCAACTTAACCTTATGGACATGCAATGTGATCCATTGTTTTTGAAGTAGTTCTTGTCAGTGACAATCTTAAGCTTAGTACACATCTGTTGGCATGCCATCCAACACGTGATGTCTGACCGAGTGTCGATCAGGCTTGTCTGATGAGTTGTACAAACCAGCCACTATTAAAAAAGTAAAGTACTAACAGAGATAGGATACTAAATTCAGAGAGAGTATTTCAGCAGGAGTATGTTCTCTTAGTTAATTTTCGGTATCTAGCAACTGGATGCTGCTATGCAAGTTTGCAATATTCCACACGAATTTCTGAACAAAGTTTGGGTGCGATCATTCCTGAGACATGCCAAGCTATCTACGAAGTACTAAAAAATCAACTAAATGAAGGTAAGAATAGTCATATGATTTCAACAAGTGGTAAATAAAAGCAATTAGGCTAGTTTGTAATTTTTATAACTTATGTAATTGTTTACAATTAGATCATACACTATATGTACTGTATCATCATATCGGAGAACAATTGTACAGTATTTGCATTTTCAATGTTTGCAACTTGTGGACATTGAGGGAGCAGGTGTACACATTACCTCTTGCTGCAGAGCCATCTGACACATTGACAGATGTGGCGTCCTGATCGAACACTAGAAAAACCCTCATTGATCAGGCACGAACACCGATTTGTGTCGGAAGGTGGCTCTTTGACAGTTACGCCGAACGTCATGTCGTCAGATGTGTGCCATGATGTCCAAAGCATCACTCTCTATTTTTAATGATGTTGGGAAAGGCGTGACAGAAAACACTACCTTTAAAACTGTAGATGCATGTGATTAAAACACTGAAGATTTGCAATAGTCAGTCTTTTAGGGGCCATTTCACACAGAAACACTAAAGTTTTGAGATTACAGCACGAGATGGAAATAGCTGTGGGTGCTAGCCTCCAAATTTGGGGTGTTTTCAAGCCTATTTCATTATCTGAAGGATATATAGACTTACCTACAAATGTATAAGGACTTAAGGATAAGTACTGTACCATAAAGCAACTTTGGTGTTGGGAACTTAGCTGTTTCCTGCACGAAAATAACTACTTGGGGTCCCATCACTCATGGCTGGGTGTAGTGGGATGTCAACATTGCCCCATGGAAAGTGAATTATCTCTTAGGAAATTTAACACAGAATTACATACCACCCCTCCCTTCCTCCACACACCACCCCTCCCTCCGTCCACATATCACCCCTCCCTCCCTCCACATACCACCCCTCCCTTCCTCCACATACCACCCCTCCCTCCCCTCCCTCCTTCCCACCCTCCTCCACACATCACCCCTCCCTCCCCTCCACATATCACCCCTCCCTCCCTCCCCACCTCTCCTCCCCCTCCCCCTCCCCCCCCCCACCCACCACCCCCCCTCCCTCCCCTCCCCCCCTCCTCTCCCTCCCTCCCCCTCCTCCTCCCACCCTCCCTCCCTCCACATATCACCCCTCCCTCCCTCCACATACCACCCCTCCCTCCATCCACATACCACCCTCCTCACCCTCCCCTCCACCTCCCTTCCTCCACCCTCCCTCCCTCACACCACCTCCCTTCCCTCCCACCACACCCCTCTTCCTCCACATTCCACCTCTTCCTCCCTCTCTCCCTCCACATACCACCCTCCCTCCCTCCCCTACCACCCTCCCTCCCCTCCACATACCCCTCCCTCCCCCCTCCACCCTCCCTCCCTCCCTCCCACCCCCTCCCTCCACATACCATCCCCTCCCTACCATCCCTCCCTCCCTCCACCACCCCTCCCTCCCCTCCCTCCACTTCCCCCTCCCTCCCCTCCTCCCTCGCACCTCTCCCTCCCTCCACCACATACCACTTCTCCCTCCCTCCCTCCCCCTCCCCTCCTCCCTCCCCTCCCTCCATACCACTTCTCCCTCCCCCCTCCCCTCCTCCCATCTACCCTCCTTCCCTCCTCACATACCACCTCTCCCTCACTCCTCCCTCCCTCCACATAGCACCTCTCCTTCCTCCACATACCTCCTCTCTCTTCCCTCCCCTCCACATAGCACCTCTCCCTTCCTCCACCATCTCCCCTACATACCACCCCTCCATCCCCTCCCTACTACCCTCCCTCCTCCACATACCACTTCTCCCCTCCCTCCCTCCACACCTTTCCTCTCCCCTCCCTCCCACCATCCCTCCCTCCACATACCACCCCTCCCCTCCCTCCACAATACCACTTCTCCCTCCCTCCCTCCCTCCCTCCCCTAGCACCTCTCCCTCCCTCTACCATCCCTCCCTACATACCCATACACAGAAAATGTGAAAATATTTCTACTTTCTGGGAAAGTTGGTTATCTACTTATCATAGAAAACGGAAATTTGTATCATAGAAAATGGGAAATATCTACTTTCCGGGAAAGTTGGTTATCTACTTTCCCAAAGTAGATTATC